GGTGTTTGTGTTTTGGTATAACCGTGTTTGTTTCCTTATCTCTGGTATGCCTTATCCCATGGGACTTCAGTTTCAGCACTGTTATAAAGACCTTTGATTATTTCCATGTTTCAAGTAAAGGGGAGTGTAACTATCTACAATCGGTGTTTTATCCTTTGCTATTTTGTCTTCATTACTATGGGCTCTATTGCATCCTTTGCTATTATTTGCTCCCTTTTTGTCTCTACCGCTCTCTTGTGTTATCGGGAGGTTGTTCATGTTTAACTCTATCCTTGGTGTGTTCATCTTCATTCCCGAGATTCGTGTTCAATTCCGTCCTCGGTGTGTTCATTCCCAAGATCGTGTTTAGCTTCGTCCTTGGTGTCTTTATTCCCAAGGGTCCTTGGTGTCTTCGTCTTTATTCCCAAGGATTGTGTTCAACTCCGTTCTTGGTGCCTTCGTCTTCATTCCCAAGGAAGGGTCAGACATAGTGCAATCTCTTTTGAAGTCATCCATCTTAGAGTGTTTATGTTGTTGTGATGGTGTTCGTGTTTTCCCTTGGTGCCTCCATTCCCAAGGATGTTCGTGACAAGCTTTGCCCCTGGCCTGTTCATTTCCAAGGGTTGCATTGTCCCTCCGAAGCCATCTCGCATTGTTATCCTCTAGTTGCATTTAATTTTCATTTGTAATTTTGAGTGAGGTAGAGTAGGGGTGTAAACGAATCGAATCGAGTCAAATATCTCAGTATTCGATTCGAATTCGACTATATATTCGAATATTTGTATTCGTATTCGTTTAATATTCGAATATCAACTTTGATTCGTATTCGGTTCGACCAGTTTATTCGAATATATTCGATTCGACTCGAATATTCGAATTTGAAATGCCTAACTTAAATTTTTACAAAATTCTCTAATAAATTAAGATAAAATGTAATAAAAATTTATATTTAAATAGCATAAAATATTCGAATATATTCTAATAATATTCGAATCGAATACACTCTAATTCGTATTCGTATTCGAATCGAAAAAAGTATTCGAATTCGGATTCGTATTCGAAATATTCGAATTCGAATCAACATATTCGAATTCGAATCACGAATCGAATTTTTTATATTTGATTTGTTTACACCCCTAAGGTAGAGTGCTTGTTTTAATCCAAGCTTGGAACTTCCAGAAGTTCCAGCTTGAGGGGGAGTGTTGAATATTAGGAAAGTTGTCTTAGTTTCCTATTCTTATTAGTAGTTTCCTAGACTAATTTAGTATCTTGTTTAGTATATATAGAGGTCCATTGGAGTATAGAATATAGACATTAAGAGAGACAATCTATTGTAATCTTTCACTATAATATATTCTCTCCATTATCTTTGTCTTTGGTTCTCACATATTTTGCTTCCGCCTAACTGGCGAGTGGTGGTTATTCTCCACCCGCCAGACCTATCAATCCCTCAATTTCAACAATGTTCTTAAATCGATAAATCATTAAAATTTATTTTCGGATATTCCGCATCGATTTTGTAATCTGCCGTGCTTCGATATAGGTGGCCCACATATTTCTCAATTTGGACAGGACTTGAATTGGATTGAGTCATCCCCCGTCTATATAAACTGATCTTCTTCTTGAATATTATTTCACAATAGCAGCAAACTTTGTTGAGTTCCCTAAATTGGCAGCCATTTTCCATCTCTTGATAGTCAACACGTATTTCTATTCCCATTTCTTCCTCTTTTGTTTTACAAGTCAGGTGACTAGATATTGATTTCACTTTTTGTTTTATCAGACCTGAACTAGATCGAGTCATCCCTCTCACTTGATATAAAATGATTTTCTGTTCAATACAACAAAGTCTTGCATTCTGTGCGTGGGCCTTGCGTGCAGGGTCCGGGTGTTACAAACTATGTGACATTCAAAATGTTATAAATCTTTTGCATTTCCAGATTTTCTTCAGTTTAATCGATTATTATTAAAATTTATTTTCGGATCTTCCACATTAATTTTGTAATCTGCTGCGTTGATATAATTGACCCACATATTTCTCAATTTGGAAAGGACTTGAATTGGATTGAGTCATCCCCGGTCTATATAAACTGATCTTTTTCTCGAATATTATTTCACAATAGCAGCAAGCTTTGTTGAGTTCCCTAAATTGGTAGTCATTCTCCGCCTCTTGATAGTCAACACGTATTTCTATTTCCATTTCTTCCTCTTTTGTTTTACAAATCAGATGACTAGACATTGGTTTCTTTTTTTTTTTTTTTTTTTACCAGACCTGAACTAGATCGAGTCATCCCTCTCACTTGATATAAAATTATTTTCCGTTCAATACAACAAAGTTTTGCATTCTGTGCATGGGCCTTGCGTGCAGGATCTGGGTGTTAAAAACTATGTGACATTCAAAATGTTATAAATCTTTGCATTTCTAGATTTTCTTCATTAATTGATAAATTATTAAAATTTATTTTTGGATCTTCCACATTAATTTTGTAATCTGCTACGAGATATAGTTGGCCCACATATTTCTCAATTTGGAAAGGACCTGAATTGAATTGTGTCATCTCCGGTCTATATAAATTGATCTTCTTTTTGAATATTATTTCACAATAGTAGCAAACTTTTTTTGAGTTCCCTAATCCCTAAATTGGCAGCCATTTCCTGCCTCTTGATAGTCAACACGTATTTCTATTTCCATTTTTTCCTCTTTTGTTTTACAAATAAGGTGACTGGACATTGATTTCTCATTTTTTTTTATCAGACCTGAACTAGATCGAGTCATCCCTCTCACTTGATATAAAATGATTTTTTGTTCAATACAACAAAGTTTTTTCATTCTGTGCATGGGCCTTGCGTGCAGGGTCCGGTAGTTACAAACTATGTGACATTCAAAACGTTATAAATCGTTTGCATTTCCAGATTTTCTTTATTTTAATTGATAAATTATTAAAATTTATTTTCGGATCTTCCACATTAATTTTGTAATCTGCTGCGTCGATATAGTGGCCCCACATGTTTCTCAATTTAGATTTTCTTCATTTTAATCAATAAATCATTAAAATTTATTTTTTTAGATTTTCTTCATTTTAATCAATAAATCATTAAGATTTATTTTCGGATCTTCCACATTAATTTTGTAATCTGCTGCGTTGATATAGTTGGCCCACATATTTCTCAATTTGGAAAGGACTTGTATTGGATTGAGTCATCCCTGGTCTATATAAACTGATCTTCTTGAATATTATTTCACAATAGCAGCAAACTTTGTTTAGTTTCCTAAATTAGCAGCCATTTTCCGCCTGTTGATAGTCAACGCGTATTTCTATTTCCATTTCTTCCTCGTTTGTTTTACAAATCAGGTGACTAGACATTTATTTCTCTTTTTTTTTTTTTTTTTTTTTTTTTTTTTTTTTAAATTTTTATCAGACCTTAACTGGATGGAGTCATCCCCCTCACTTGAAATAAATGATTTTCTGTTCAGTACAACAAAGTTTTGCATCCTGTGCGTGGGCCTTGCGTGCAGGGTTACAAACTATGTGACGTTCAAAACGTTATAAATCTTTTGGATTTCCAGATTTTCTTCATTTTAATCGATAAATTTAAATTTGTTTACGGATCTTCCACATTAATTTTGTAATATGCTGCATCGATATAGTTGGCTCACATATTTCTCAATTTAGATTTTCTTCATTTTAATCAATAAATTATTAAGATTTTTTTTGGATCTTCCACATTAATTTTGTAATCTGCTGCGTTGATATAGTTGGCCCACATATTTCTCAATTTGGAAAGGACTTGAATTCGATTGAGTCATCCCCGTCTATATAAACTGATCTTCTTGAATATTATTTCACAAAACTTTGTTGAGTTCCCTAAATTGGCAGCCATTTTCCGCCTCTTGATAGTCAACACATATTTCTATTTCCATTTCTTCTTCTTTTGTTTTACAAATCAGGTGACTAGACATTGCTTTCAATACAACAAAGTTTTGCATTCCGTGCGTGGGTCTTGCGTGCAGGGTCCGGGTGTTACAAATTTTGTGACATTCAAAATGTTATAAATCTTTTGCATTTTCAGATTTTCTTCATTAATTTTGCATATCTGCCATGTGTTGAGGTTGTTGGTGTTATAATAATAATAATGCTATTATTATTATTAGTAATATATTAAACCAAGTAGTTAGCAATTAATTTGTTAAAAAATAAAAAGAGGTGTGTGAACGTGGATGCATGCATAGCACTACGTGAAATGGAGTACATGGAATCATGGCCTCTAATTACTTCCTAAACTTTAGCATTGTTGCTTTTCTCTTTCACTATAAATATGTGGCTTTTGTTTATTCATAATCATCAAGTGAAGTAATAAACATTTACTTCTATTCCTCTCTCTCTCTCTTCTCAATATATAAATATAATATATAGATATATTATATTTAATATATATTATAGATATATTATATTATATTTAATATATATTATATTAAATACATTATATTTAATATATCTAACAGTTGGTGACTCATTCATTTGTCTTTTTTTTTGTTTTTTTTTTTTATTACCAAATTTGAACTGGATTGAGTCATCACTCAAGTCTGTAATCTGTATGAAGCAATACTATGTTGCATCATGTCATCACTCTATGCTCTATGTTCTGTTCAGTAACTCATTTATTTTACAAATTTGCTACATGTTGAGATGGGCTGCAACTCACTGGTTTCTTAATTTTTGACTTATCTCAATTGGATTGAGTAATCACTCTCAGTCTATATAAAGTGGTGTTTTGTTCAATACTATTTCACATTCAGTTATCACAAGTTCTGTGTCATTCAATGCATACTAAATTTCTCATTTTGAGGTTTCCCTCATTTATTTCACAAATCTGCGGTGATTGGTTTGTCATTTTTTGGCCAAATCTAATCTAGATTGTGTCATAACTCTAGTCTAAATAATGCAAATACTATTTCATACCGTCCTCATTTCTTGTTTTCTCTAAGTGCAATGCTAAGGCACAATTCATTTTCTTACTAGGATGGCAGACGAGCATGCTCAGCAGATAGCTAACCTGCGACAATCCTTCTTCGACCAGGTTTGTTTTAAACATTTATTCATGGAGAGATTTTATTATGTGTAATTTTTGTTACAAAATTTCCTTGTTTGCAGCACTTTGTTTCCTGTTGCAGTTATATTTTCACGCAAAGTGCACAAGTCATTTACTAATTTATTTTTTTTCCATGGTTAACTTTGTTGCAATGTATTATATTCTAAGATTGGATCAAGTTCACTCAACTGGGCTATAATACAAATGGGTCAAACCACACTTGAAATTCCTTCCCCCTAAAAGGAATTCTAAGAGTGGACCAAGGTCACTCTATTGGTCTACAATGTACATGGACCAAATCACACTAAAAAATTGAATGCTATCAATTAGTTAGTCTAACCATGACCTTATAAACCGATATGTTATCTCTTATATTTTCAATGTGGGACTCTTAACGCAATGCAGCTATTTTTGGTCTAATGATGATTGGTCTCTGCAGCAACTGCTTAATGAGAAATTCTTCCGAACTGAGGAAATAGATATAGGGCTCCCTGGCTTTCTGGAGGATTTTTACTGCACTTATTTCCGGGAGGCAGAGAGGCTTGTGGTGACTCTTAAACTAGAGCTGTAAGATTACTACTTTAGACGCTGCCAATTTTCTGTCATGGTTTCTCATTTTCTTAATGTTTGAGATGCTTATATGTGCTACTCAGGCATGGCCCTCCGTTCGATGTTGAATCAATTGAACTGTACCTTCATGAGTTCAGATCCAACACTAAAAGGTATTTTCATTTCCATTCTACCCGTTAACAATTACTTCATGATTGATTGCTCGGTATATTATATTGCCAATTTTATGCCACGGGCCTCGTGCATGTACTGTGCAGTGCTGGTGCTGTTAAAGTGCTGACACAGATAGGCCGCTGCATTGAATGTAGCTCTGCATTGGACTTTGCTGGGTAATATTTCAAGTCTTTTGTTCCTTTTTCTTTGGATGGGAGTGGGGTTGTCATATATGGTGAATTGAAATAAATATACTCGTATGCTTAGATGGATTTATCCACTCACTGTGAAATTGACTGTGTTACATTCATCAATGGATTAGATGCTTGGCTTGTTTGGAGGAGGCGAGTACAGAGATGAAGTACCTGAAGCGCCAACTCAAGAATTACTTCAGGGTTCTCACTAAACAACATCTCTTGTTTGTGCATAACTATAGGAAAATGCTTTCTTCCCCTCCTAGATTTCACCTCCAATATTTTCCATCCTGATGTGGCATCCATTCATTTAGCTACCAATTATATGCTGCCACGTCATGAGAGATTGATTGGAGGGGGAAAATATTAGGGACCTCTAGCATTACTCATAACTATATATCCATTTTTTGGTTGTGTTTAACCTTTTTTCAACACATTTATTCTTTTTCAGTTGATAAGGCAAGGCCCTCCTACTGTGATCGACGACTGCCCAGACTTTGGTGACGAAAGCAGCAGCGAGGAGTAAAAGAAGTGGCTTGCTTGTGAAAGTCAGAAAGTGCATGGGGACTGTGTTTAGTTTGTGTTTTCTTTAGGAAGAAAAAACAAAAGGGGAGTGTTGCCCCTTTTGTTTGTTGTTTGTTGTTTGTTGTTTGTTGATGCACTCTGAAACTCTGTTATGACTGTTATGTTCCTGTTTCAAAAATTCAATACATCTCCTTTCGAATTTGGAATTGATATGTTTTAAATACTTACCTTACTTATATTTCTCTAGCAAGAGAAGGGAAAGTTTGTGTTTTATATAGCATGCACTGGCATTTGGCATTTGGCATTTTTTCCTATTTATAAGATTTCCTGCATTATATAATAGTACTAATATAAGGTTTTTAATCCACATTTTACTGGGCGTTAAAGAAATTTTACATTATAAGACATTATTGTACTTGTACAGGTAGGCATGGAACTTTTTTTTTGAATGCATGGAACTTGAATTTGTGCAAAAATCCGTATTATTTTGAAGGTTGACAAGGTTGAAAAATTGGCCACGCTTGTTCTTGAGCTGGGAATAAGTTCCATGTTCCACAACCTTTCCCTCTGAAACTAGGGCAATGGAATCCAAGTTCTTGATGGAATTAAGCATTTGCGCCACCACCACTGTCGTTCGCCTGATCATTATCCCGTCTAATGCCTCTTGCACTACTTGCTCTGATTCCACGTCTAGTGCACTTGTGGCTTCGTCCAAGAGCAATATGGTTGGATTCCTGATTATTGCTCTAGCAATGGTAATTCTTTGCTTTTGCCCGCCCGAGAGTTGAACCCCGCTTTCACCACATTTGGTGTCGTATCCCTTTTTCAACGATTTGTAGTATTACATCAATTGCATTAGTAACTCGTCGTTTACTGGATTATAACATTGCATGCTTTTTAGTCTGTACTACATCAGTTACGTTGTATTAGTAACTCATTTACTGAGTTATAATATGCTCTGTAGTCTGTACTACATGAGTTGCATTAGTAACTCGTTTACTGAGTTATATGTTGTGTTCGTATAACATCAGTTGCATTAGTAACTTGTTTATTGGGTTATATTATGCTCTGTAGTATGTACTACATTAGTAATAACTCGTTTACTGAGTTATATGCTCGGTATAACATGAGTTGCATTAGTAACTGGTTTTGTGTGAATATTGAAATACTTACGAGATGAATTCGTGTACATTTGCAGCCTTAGTAGCTTCAACAATCTCATTTTCCGAAGCATAAAGATTTCCGAACAATATGTTGTCTTTGATTGTGCCGAAATATATCACCGGCTCTTGGCTTATCGGTGTCATTTCTCGTCTATACCACCCGATATCGAATGACCTGACGTCCACTCTGTCCACTCTAATTAACCCTTCATCCACACCGTAAAGTCTCTCGATCAGAGCAACAATGGTGGACTTTCCACTCCTACTTTTCCCAAAATGCCTTTGATAAACAACCCAAAAGTATCATATGAAATGTCCCAAAATGCAACCCTGTTGAAAAACCCAACACAATAAAGACGCCCACAGGTCCACTCCAAACATGCTAAAAGGTGCCAAATCCCATAAAACTCTCCAAATCAACCAAAAAATCAATAACATAATGACTATTTATGGAACAATTCCTAAAAAACGAAAGCACACAGTCTCTAGCACAAGAGGTGCACAGGCCAAGCAAGCTATCACTAAGTAAAATTGTCAAATATGTTATCACAAATAAAGGTACGCAGGCCAAACATATGATGAAAGGCACACAGGTTAAAATAAACAAAGGGGCTCGCAAGCCTAGCATACAAATAAAAATAAAAAAACTTGTAGGTCACTGTAAGTGTACAAATGATACACATTTATACCCAAACATATTGGCCATATTATTTGACAAAACTTAGTATTTATTTGTTAAGGAAGGAGGATGTTCATGAAGCCAAAGTTCCTGCATCTCTCCATAGGGCAAAACATCAATCTCAGGCATTGGTATCTTCTTTCTCTGAATCTTTAGAGGGTACTACCTCCGTACCCGCGTCTAGGAAATTAAATTTCTCAGTTCATATGCCTGCTCAATTTGGTAGTTCTAATGTGTCTTCTGCGCCTTTATCTGTTCCTTTGAATTTGCCTAATATGTCTGAAGGTATGCATGTTTCTCCCCTGTCCACCATCATCTATACTGGCCAAATTCCCACGTTTACATCATCTACTCATAAAACCTCTGCATCTGTCATTGTTTGCGAGTCTGACCTTGTTCCAGTAGCAATTCCGTCCGGTCAATCTATTCCTGAGTCTCAACAGATTGTGAATGAACCTGTCTCAGGTGTGCGAGTTTCTGATATACAAAATTTAGTTTCTGTGTCTGATCTGAGGTCACAAAAGCTGTTCCTACTGAGTTTTCAACTCGCAATGTAGCTCAGTATATCAATGTACCCACTCTGAATGTCTCTAGTCCAGAAGTGTCTGTTCCTATTCCTCCATCTGATCTGGTTTCCCCTCAACCTGTTGCATGCCTTGCTTCTGCTGTTTCTGTACCTATCATACAGGTTCCAGTGGAGAAATCTTCCCGTAAAGGGAAAGAAAAGGTTTCTGGTTCTAAAGCTGCTTCGACTAAGCGCAAACTTGATGAATCTGATGATGTGATTTTTGTGTCTAAAACCAAACATCACAAAAAGAGTGGCTTTTCTGTTCCTGCCAGAATAACTCGGTCCTGGGCTTCCTCTGTTCCTCCGTCTGTTCTAGCTTCCGCCCAGAAAAGCTCTAAGGGCTCAAAATCTAAGTCCTTCAAGCCTATTCTTCTGAATGATGACCTTATGAATCTATGGAAAGTGCATTCTAAAAGAGAGCTGTTGCTTGAAAAATCAATTGATGAGGATGATCTTCTTTCGAATTGCAATATTTTGTCCCTTCTACATGACCAAAATCTTCTCCAGTCTATTCAGAAAATTGGTCCTTCGAAAGAAAAGAAGGAATGAAACATCGCAATGAGATCTTCATCTCAAAACAAAAAGAAAGGGGGATATGGCGAAATCGGTAGACGCTACGGACTTAATTGGATTGAGCCTTGGTATGGAAACTTACTAAGTGATAACTTTCAAATTCAGAGAAACCCTGGAATTAAAAAAATGGGCAATCCTGAGCCAAATCCTGTTTTCCGAAAACAAACAAAAGTTCAGAAAAAAAGGATAGGTGCAGAGACTCAATGGAAGCTGTTCTAACAAATGGAGTTCACTGTGTTGAAGAAAGAATTGAATAATCATTGAATTGATTAAATCATTCACTCCATAGTATAGTCTGATAGATCTTTTGACGAACTGATTAATCGGACGAGAATAAAGATAGAGTCCTGTTCTACATGTCAATACCGACAACAATTAAATTTCTCATAAATTAACTGTTGAATTTTACACGAATCTGTCAACCGAATCTTCTACCAGGGATTCTTCTCATTACCATCAAGTCCTCATTCGTCACAAGTGGTGTGATTTTGGCCCCAAAGAAATCAATGCATACTTGGGCCGATCTGATATTGATGATGCCTCTGATCTGGATCTCAATTTGCTTACTTTAACTCACAATCACATTGTTAAGTGGCCAAAAGGATGTGCTCAATCTCAGAAGTTAACTACAGTATACTCTGTTTTGCTCTGTATTGCTGCCACAAATTGGCTTCCAGTTGTCAATAAAAATCTTGTTTCGAACAAAATGACACTACTTCTTTACATGGTTCAAAATCGAATTGATGTTGACTTAGGATCAATTATCTTATCTCATATTATGTCATTTACAAAGAAGAAGGAAGCTAAGGTGCATATTCCGTTTCCAAGGCTGGTGTGTAAAAGAAACAAGGCTTTAAGCCGTATGATTCTGAGAAGGTCTTTGCAAATAATGGTGTCTATCATTTTGATCCTAGACTGTCCCAGAGTTTTCATTACGATGATAGAGCTGAACTTCTCCTTACCTTTGCTGACACGGTGTCGTCTGCCACAACTCTTGTATCTCCTGCTTCCTCTGATTCCAATGTCCATCCAGCTACGTCTGCTCGAGTTCCTGTCGAGCCTCCATCTCTCATTTCTCACTGGCAGTTTGCTGATTCTGTTCAATCCTCGTTATATCAAATGCACAAATCTATTGCTGCTCAACAAGAATCAGATGCTGGTCTTCAGAAGATTCTTCTTCAATGTCGTCGTGAAATAGCTCACTTGGAGAAATTGCACGCTGAGATTATAGCTTCCCGTACAAACCCAGCCTCTGTAGGGGTGTAAACGAGCCGAGCCGAGCTCGAACCTAGGTAGGCTCGAGCTCGTGCGCGTTAATGGAGGCTCGGCTCGAGCTCGAAAACTGATGCTCGAGCTTGGTAATTTTCGGGCTGCTCGAGCTCGATTTTGACATTGAATTTGACCTATTTAATACTTTTGATTTAAAATTCAAACTACTTTGTTTTACCCATACATAATTAATAGAAATCTTTTAGGGATTTTGAGTTTAAAATTTTAATTTCTAATTTGTATTTTTATATATTATAATTATATTATATTATATTATATTATATTACACGGAGTATTATGTATTATATATATATATATATATATATATATATATATATATATATATATATATATATATATATATATATATATATATATTATATGGCTCGTGAGCGGCTCGACGAGTCACGAGCCTAGAATATCTAGGCTCGACTCGAGCTCGATTACTAAACAAGCTGTTCGAGCTCGGCTCGAGCTCGATTTTGACCGAGCTCGAGCCGAGCTTTGACCGAGCCGCTCGCAAGCAGCTCGCGAGCTGCTCGACTCATTTACACCCCTAAGTCTCTGCCTCAGATACTGCCGATTCTGATCCAGCTAATGCTACTGAAGCTTCTGATGAAGACTCCATTGCCTCTAATGATGCTACCATCTCTTTTGACGCTTCGTCAGCCCACTGATGTTCACCGTTGTCAATTTTTTGGCAACAAGGGGGAGAATAAATTAAGGGGGAGCTTCTAGTTTTTGTAGTAATAATCTCTGATTTTTGGTCTGGATATTATCTTGATACGGTCTACTGGATATTCTCGCATATGTTTGGATAGTTTCTATTATATTACGGATTATCTATTTTGTTATGACATATCTATTCTGCGTTGGTTGGATTACCTCTATTTATCTTGGGTGTGGAGAAATGGTATTTCCATTGCAGCTCTTCGTCTTGATTGGTCTATTTTCTTTTCCTGTATTATGTGTAAAGGCTTTATTAATAAA